TGACCCAGCAGGGCTCTTCTGATGTTCTTATTAGGGGAAGGCCTCGGCCTCTGTGCCCTGTTGTTGGTCCTCCAGAGGAATTAGTTGGCCACTGTGTGAGATGGGATGCTGGACTAGATGGACTATTGATCTGATCTAGCAGGGCTCTTCTGATGTTCTTATCCCAGTTTCAATTTCACTCCAAAAATCGATTGTTCAACAAGCCCCTCTCTGTGTTCCTACTTGGCAATGAAAGAGGCTCTGTAATCTTGGGAACAGCAACTGGGTTTTGTTCTCTCTCTCTTTTTGTTGAAAGAGTAAAAAAAAAAGATAAGGTTTTCTTATCGACAAAACGGAGGGTTTTATAGACACCTCCTGGAAACGAAATCTCGCTGCGGTCTTTGGAAGAGAAGAAATCCTTTTGAAGAAAACAGTTGGGTTGTCAAGGTATTATGGGCCCATTCTTTTTCTGTGCAGTTCTGTGGGTCTGTGCAGGGAGGGGGGTTATGTTTGTGTGCAGGGCTGGGCCTAGAAACCTGGAATCAGAGCTCATCCCCTGCAGAAAATTTAGGATTGCTGGGTCCCTTTGTGACATCGGGAGGGGGTTGGGGGGACCTTCCAGGTGCTGGAAACATCGCCCCCAAGGTGTTGATGTCCCCAGAAGTGACATTGGCACATCGGGGGGTGACGCTCTGGTTTTTGGGCAAAACTCTATGGTAAAATCAGCCTCAAACCATAGAGTTTTGCCCCCAAACCAGAGCGTCGCCCCCCCGGCATCACCGACGTGCCTACATTATACATCATTATAAGCGTATAACCATTTGGAAGAACACAGTGACATGAAATGTTTTACTATGCAGTAGTTTTGGATCTTGTTAAGTTGTTACAAGTTCCATTTTGGACAAAGCTCTGGTGAAATGAGGTGCCCTGTCAGCTGGAATTGAACTTGTTGAGCTACTATATGAACAGAACTTTAAGTCTTCAAGTAGAAGAAGAAGAAGAGGGGGAGGAGGAGGAGACTGGATTTATACCCCACCCTTCACTACCCAAAGGAGCCCCACTGGTGGACCTCCTGATGGCACCTGGTATTTTTGGCCACTGTGTGACACAGAGTGTTGGACTGGATGGGCCTTTGGCCTGATCCAACATTGGCGTCTCTTATGTTCTTATGAGTCTCAGAGCGGCTTACAAACTCCTTTCCCTTCCCCTCCCCACCACAGAAACCCTGCGAGGTAGGTGGGGCTGAGAGAGCTCTGACATAAACTGCTCTTTTTCAAGAACACCTCTGACAGAACTATGGCTTCTCCCAGATTAGAGTCCACGCACTTAACCACCACACCGAACCACTGCAGAGGGTTCTACTCACCTGAAGTACCACTGGTATATGGAGTGGACTTCTGAATTTGGAACTGGCAATGGAATCCTTTGTTCTGTGACTCGTGAACTTTGATCTTTCCCTCGTGCACAGTCTATTCATAATAATTTCGAGATTTTGCGTTGCCGTCCTGTATGATTGTTATTGCTGATTATGTATCTAATTTGTGGGTATTATATTTAGTGCTTTGAGTACTTTCGGAGGTTTATTTATATGGCGTTCCCCCCTTCTTTTTCCATTCACTTCATCCATGTATCGCAGTTTTTCGTTCCCAACTTAAGAAAATGGATGCTTTGGAGGGTGAACTCTCTGGCACGGTACCCCATTGAGGTCCCTGGCCTCCCCGGGCTCCATCCCCAAATCTCCCAGAGTTTTCTCAACCTGGATCTGGCAACCCTACCCGCTCATCCCCCACCGGTGGCCAGGGGCAACTGGGCAACCCTCGATTATCCCCCATGTGTAGGGTTGCCAAGTCAATTTTTCTTACCGGCGGGGGAACCTCGCTGGGCTCTGGGAGCCGTCCGTCGATGCGCGTGTGCCGCCAGTACGTCACCGGAAGTGCCGCGCGACGTCGATAGCACGTCACCGGAAGTGCCGCGCGACGTCGATAGCACGTCACCGGAAGTGCCGCGCGACATCGATAGCACGTCACCGGAAGTGCTGCGCGACGTCTATCATGTTGAAGGCATGGCCCCGATCTAGGGGAGCCTTCTGATTCCACGCCCCCAACGTGACCTCCGGTGACGCAGCCGCGCTGCGCTTCGGGGGGGCGGAGTTCCCCCCGGGGCCCGATTCCGACGTGGTGGAAATCGGGCCTCCAAAGCGGGGTTTTCCCCTCCACCCGCCCCCACTTGGCAGCCCTACCCACGAGGCAGGCAGGGAAGTTAAGGCCACTGTGTGAGTCCACGAACTTCACCAGCTCCCTCTCTGAGCAGGTGTTTTCTCTGCTCGGACACTCTCTCGTAAATATGTAAGAGCAACCAGGCTTCCTGATTCTCAGTATTGTTGCCAATGGGGCCAGGGAAAAAAGAAACAAACGCAGGGTCTCTCAAGCGAGGAGTTCACCGCAGGTGAAAAAGCAGAGAGCTTCATATGCAAAGGACAAATGGAGGCCTGGACAAGCCCGGCGAACCCTTGAGTTATTAGTATTAATGATGTTTGTTCGGCTGGCTTTTAAAACACTCATCCTGTTGTCCTCGGGTGGCAGAAGCCAGGGAAAGAAAGTGCGGCTTCTCAAAGGAGCCCGATGCCTTTTCGAGGATCGTGTGCAAAAGGGGAAAAAATGATAAACCTACATCTCTTTGTTGAGGCACTGTGACAGGCCAGCCACATAAGAACTGGATCGACTTTGATTACTTTCAGGCACCCTGGCCTTGCGTGTATGTGTGTGCGGTGCGTCCTGGCATACCAGTAGCCGCATCAGATAAATAAACATCCGGCATAAAGGTGAATGCTCCTCTATCGAGAGCCTTTTACGAGCATCGTATCCACGGCTGTGTCCTGAGTGGCGGGGCTGAGAGGCGCTTGTTAAAGTCTTCAGCGGGCTGGGAGCCTGTGGTGGCGGTGGAGAAAATGAGTTTTGTCTGGATTTGGGGATTTTTTTGGGGGGCGGGAAGAGCTTAGAACATTCTGTGAAGGACACGTAACACCGAACTCAGTTCGAGCTAATGCGATTTTAGCCCATCGAAACCCATTTAACCTGCAGATGTTTACAAAATTTCCTTCCATGGAGCTGTCTGGGAGGCAATGCAGGGTTTCCTCCCTTCTCAGTTTAACCGTCACAACAACCCTGTGAGGTAGATTAGGCTAAGGCCGTGTGACTCCCCAGGGTCACCCAGAAATCTTCCATGACAGAAAAGCTTTCTTAAAGGTGACCAGTTCCTTGACAAAGAGTTAGAAGGGATCCTTGAGGTCACCTACTCCAACCCCCTTGCTCAGTGTGGGAATTAGTCAACTACAGGCCCCCACTCTGCTTAAAGGAGTGCACACCTTTAAAAATGTTTTTAAATGACTGAAAAAAGCATTTATGGGAAAAATTAGTGTGGGGCTGTGCCTTTAAGAAAGGGGGCAGAGCCCCCAAAAGACCCACTGTAGGTACGGGCCGGGCCAGTTGCCCCAAAAAGATATTTCAGGGCATAATTGAGGAACCCCAGGCTACAGTTTGTACAGTCTTAAAAAGGAATATAGCAGGGGGTCGCCAACCTTTCTGAGCCCGTGGGCGCGTTTGGAATTCTGACATTGAGTGGTGGGCGCAACCACAAAACGGCTGCTTCAGGAGGTGGAGCTAGCCACAACATGGCCGCCAAAGGAGGCGGAGTGAACCACAAAGTCAGGGAGCGCGGTTCTGCCCAAATCTAACAGCAACTCTTCAATATTTCACCGAATGGCTTTTAAAATCAACATATTGTTTTAAAGATAGAAAAGAGTAAGAGTCCAGTGGCGCCTTAAAGGCTAACAAAAGTGGTGGTGGGCTGTGAGCTTTTGTGAGTCACCGCTCACTTCTTCAGATCGTTTCAACGTATTTTATTTTATTTTATTTTTGTTTACATGCAGTCATGCGGTGAAGACCTTTGCCACGGGGTGGCAGCTGCTGCCGAAGCAACTTTGTAAAAATCTGCACAGCTGATCAGAACTCTGATGGCCAATCAGAAGCCCTGCTGGGCAAAAGCCACACCTGGTCCCACCCACTTTCTAAAAACACTTGATGGGGTGCCAGGGAAAATGTTGGCTGCCACGGCGCCCAGGGGCACCGTGTTGGAGACCCCTGGAGTACAGCGTGTCTTGCAAACTGACAGTGCATTGAGTTCATTGGGGCTTAAGGAAGTGTGTGTAGGGATCGGTACATCGACTGGAGGATGGGGTGGTGGGGAAAAAGCAGGCTTCAAGATGAGCGGCTCTAGAGGAGCAGCCCGTATCGTCAGCGAGAGGTTCTCGGGACTTCTTATTCCTCAGGTACAAGCTCTATGGACAAATGCGGATGTTTCTTTCCCTTAGAAAAAACCTCCTGTCCTTGTCTCTCTTCTTCCACCGGGCCAAGATGCGTGCTGTCCTTCTGGTGTTCTTCTTGGTCTCTTCATCAAAAGCCAGCCTCCTGCAGGGACAAAAAGCATCGCTGAAGAGGGAGACCTGGAGGGGTTCTTGTGTACGATGCTGTGACTCCGCGGAGCAGCCTGTCTCCATCACCTCTTCCCGATACATCCGGATGACGAGCGACTCCGGCTATTCGATGCCCAAAGTGCGGCCCACGATAGACATCACAATCTTGAAAGGTGAGCCCTGGCCCATTCTCCGCCTGAGGAACTGGTTCCCTCCTCCTCCTCCATATAGGGATGCCAACCTCCAGGTGGGACCCGGGGATCCCCCGGAATTACAGCTATCTTCACACTACAGAGAAAATGGATGCTTTAGAGGGTAGACTCTATGACACTGTGCCAGGGGTAGTTTCATAGAAAAAGAGCTAGGGGAACTCATTAGCATAACTCATTAGCATGTGCCACACCCCCTGACATCAGGGGCCCGGCGGTGGACCTGCAAGGCCGGCGAGAGTGCGAGGAAGCCCCGCCAAGTCCCTCCCTGGCCCCAGGCAGGCAGGGGTGGGGAGAGGCGGGGGGGAAGCCACTTACCCTCCCTCTTCTCCTGCCTCCTCCTGGCTGAATGAGGGCCGGAAGCAGGGCGGCCGGAAGCAAGGGGCGGGGCTTTGTCGTGTGCCCCGCCCCCTCACGCCTCACCCGGGGGAACTGCGATCCCCCCTGAATCGACCTCTGCACTGTGCCCCACTGAAATCCTGTCCTCCCCAGGTTCCATCCCCAAACCTCCAGGAGTTTCCCAACTTGGATCTGGCAACCCTAGCCCCCATCCCCTGCCAATGGCTAGGGGCGACCTGGCAATCCTATCCCCCAAATATGGCTCACTTCACACAGACATGTTGACCTTAAAAGGCGACTGTTGCACCTCCCGGTGAAATGTGTGTGTACAAATGGATGGGAGACCACAGGTAAGACTTCCATATGGCCCAGTATCACCCCACCAGGCCCACGGCTTTTTGATGGACCAGATTACTGCATCCAGCTATGAGTACCAAGGTTCAAGGAAGCAGGGATTCACCAGGGATCCGTGAACCGGTCTCATCCTGGTGTTCTCGTGGTAGAGAGAGAAGGGCACGCTGCACAGGATTTTGTGGCTTGTGGGGCAGATTTTCTTCTGGTGGGGCTGAAGTTCTCAGCGCAGAAGGAAAAGCCGTTGAGCCAGTAGAAAGCTGTTACCCGGACAGATCTCTAAATTGCAAGCTGTCAATCACTTTAGACGACAGTTCTCAGCTGCTGCAAGTTAATCACTTCTGCCAGTCTAAGCAACAGTTCTGATCACAAGCCGGCAGGTGGGGGTGATGAATTCTACATTAAAGAAAGCTAACACTTAGGAGGCAGAAAAACTCTCTTAAAGGAGACCAGTTTCTTGACCCTTAGAGAGGGATCCTAGAGGTCACCTACTCAAACCCCCTTGCTCAGTCAGTGCGGGAATTAGTCAACCACAGCACCCCACTCTGCGTAGAGGAGAGCATGCCTTTTAAAAATGTTTTAAATGATTGAAAAAAGTGTTTACAGGAGAATTTTTTTGTGGGGCTGGGCCTTTAAGAAAGGGGGTGGAGACCCCAAAAGCCCCACCATAGCTACGGGCCTGACTCTGCGTATGCCCAGTGTCCCTGTCCTCTTCATTATCATCCCCCAAATCCCACAGCTGAGTCCTTGCACCGAAAACCAAAGCTATACCGAATGAAACTTCAGTCCCAAACGAAACTTCGGTCCCAACCCATAGTGATCTTCAAAGGTAAGTCTCCCCCTATTGTTTACCTCACTTTGCATCCTCCTAGATCAGGGAGAAAATTCCTGGGCACCGAAAACCAAAGCTATACCGAATGAAACTTCAGTCCCAAACGAAACTTCGGTCCCAACCCATAGTGGTCTTCAAAGGTAAGTCCCCCCCTATTGTTTACCTCACTTTGCATCCCCAGGTGAAAAAGGAGAAACGGGACCCAAAGGGCTATTGGGGCCCGAGGGCAAAGCGGGACAGCCAGGCCGACGGGGTCTAAATGGATGGAAAGGGCAAAAGGGTCAGCTTGGCCCCCCGGGCAACTCCTGCAAGCAGTATTACGTGGCCTTCTCCGTGGGCCGCCGCAAACCCCTCCACAGCTCGGACTACTACCAGCACGTCACGTTTGACACCGAGTTTGTCAACCTCTACGAGCACTTCAACATGTTCACGGGGAAGTTCTTCTGCTACGTGGCCGGGGTCTACTTCTTCAACCTCAACGTCCACACCTGGAACTACAAGGAGACCTACCTCCACATCATGAAGAACGACTCCCAGGCCGCCATCCTCTACTCCCAGCCCAGTGAACGGAGCATCATGCAGAGCCAGAGTCTCATGCTGGACCTCCTGGAAGGGGACGAGGTCTGGGTGCGGATGTTCAAGCGGGAGAGGGAGAACGCCATCTACAGTGAGGAGTCTGACGTCTACATCACCTTCAACGGACATCTCATTAAGCCGGCCGTGGAATAATGAGCGGCTTCCAGGTCGAAGCCGCGGCGGCTGGTGGATGTTCTTCAGATGTTTCACCTCTCGGGTGGCAGATGCAAATCCGCTTGCCTACATGGTATCCGAGAGACACATGGTAGGGCTACTGTAGAGTAAGTGGCCTTATGCTTGCACCGGTGTTCCCTCTAAGCTGAGTTA